AGCGTCTGAATGCTTCCTGGATAAAGTCAGGGACTTTCCTTGGTCCAACGAAACAGACCAAACAGCACAAAGCCCTTTACAGTAACTTACAACGCTGATTTTGTTCCACTTACAGTTCCCTTTCCAGACCCAAAGTCATCAACCTTCACTTACTCTTTTGTTTGTTCCCCATCTGAATTTTTGCTAATCTGATCTAACAGGCCCTCGGCACTTTAGCTCTAGTATCTCCATTAAAAAAACATGACAATAAAATACTAAAATGCCAAATAGAATGTACTGTAATTATGTATTATAATAGACAGTTGACCCAACAGGAAGATTGAAGAAATACCTAAATTTCCTAAAATCCAGCAGAAATAAAAAGGTATCTTACAGTCCATCTTGTCACTCTCTGCAGTACAGCATCAGCTGATATATAGCAATAGAACTAATAAAATGAAAGCCAGTGCAGGTAATTGTACAAAACGTAGAACTAGTGTTCAAACTAAAATCAGTAATAGGAGAACTAGCACTGTTATTGCTAGTACTAGAAACTGTGTAAAAACTAGAACATGTACTAATGGAATTATTACTATTAGTGGAAGTTGACTGGTTGAACTACTACAACTAGTATTAGAAGTAGTAATATTGCTGGAATAGGTACTAGAACTAATAGGAGAATTGGAAGAATATTTGCATAAAAACTAGGGTAGTGTTAAAACTCTTACTTCTAAACTATGAATTATTTCGCAGTAAAACAGTAAAACTAGTACTAGTAGAACTAGAACTAACACTAATATCATAACACTACGTATACCAGACCTAACAACAGAACATTAAAGCTAGAATTACCAATAGTATCAGTAAGTAGTAAAAATTGTTAGAAGTAATATTAGAATGATACTTTAAACAGAACTAGTTCTGCTGCTGGAATGTCAGGGCCCCGCTGGAGATGTCCTCTGATAAGAAGGATGGGGAGGAAGCAGAGTCAGGGACATCTAGAGTCTTGGCACAAGCAATTCCAGTAACGATAGAGCCCATGACTCCACTGTGGTTGAGGCAGATCCAGCAAGCCCCCAGGACCCCTTGCCTGCACCCACCAACAGCCTCTCGGACTCTGAAGTCCAGCCACCCAGCCCTCAGCAGAGGCGTGTGGTAAAGATTCATCAACAGAGAGCAGAACTTCATAGATCTGAATGACCTGCCAAGAAACAAGCTGCAGAAGAGCCAAGGCTGAGGAAGAAACGCCACAGCTGGATATTGGGTGGAGGCTGATTTATTGGCCTCAGTTACTGGGAGCAGATGCTGAGAACGACGTTTCGAGCCTCAGCTCCTTTGTGTTTCCTGTGCCATGCGTAGGACTCAGATTCTACCTCACTGTGTCTCTTGTCTTTTCCCCTTGGATCTGATGCTTGTTGATTGGATTCCTGGTCTCGACCTGTGCCAAGCCTCTGACTGCATTTCCAGTTGCTGTCTTGAGATATTGGTAAAAATAACTCTTTTCTGCCTGAACGTGAATATCACTGGACCCTGGCAGGCATCCAGCTTGGCCTCTTGTGACAGCACAGAAAACAGAATGAGTTCTAGTGCTAGTACTTGTAAAGCTGTTTTCAGGATTAGAACGATTAACAATGGAACTAGAACTTGTTCCAGGTGTAGAACTATTGCTAGTACAAATACTAGAACTCATACTATTAATAAGAGCTAAATCTAAGACCTGAATTAGAACAAGAGATAGGAAGGGTACTTGGAGACTAATAATAGAATTAATACTAATACTTGTGCTAGAACTAGTATGATAAATGTTAATATAGGTAGTCCTCAGGTTATGAAGGTAATTGGGACCAGAATTTCCATCGCTAAGCGATGTGGTCGTAAAGCACAACATCACGTGACTGCATTGCTCAGCGATGGCAGTCCCGGCACTCCCCGTTGCCATTGTTAAGCAAATTTCTCTGGTCATTAGGTAAGGACCCACCGCGATCGAAGCCATTCCCAGCTTGGTCCCTCCCAGCCCCGAGCCTCAGTAAGTTAAGGGACTGCCTCCTCTTCAACTCCCCCCAATGCCTATCCCTCCCCCATCTCTGCCCTTCTGGCCACGTTGCACTCTGCCACCTCCGCCAGCCCTGCCACCCCCAGCTGACCTTCACCGTCTTCTTCCTCCTGCTGCTGACGAAAGAGCCAGAATGAAGACTGAGGCTGACAGAAACATGTTTGGGAAATCTCTTTGAATGGTTTAATCTCAGGATTAAATGAATTGCATCCTAGGGTACCGAAGGCAGCTGCTAAGGTTTTGGCCAGCCTGATGCTTAGTCACTGAGAATCCTGCAAAATCAGCAAGTGCCAGATGACAGAAGAGAGAAAATCTGTCTTTGTAAAAATAGAAAAAGGAAGATCCCTGAAACTACATACAAATCAGTCTAACATCTATACCCAGGAAGATTCTAGAGCAGATCACGAAGAGGCTGATCTGTAACAATACAGTAACTGTCACCTGTTAGCATGGATTTGTCAAGAACAAATCTTGCTACGTGAATCTTACATCATTTGGAGTAATTTCCTTATTAGACTGTGGAAATGCTATTGACATGTCTTAATTTCAGCAAAGGATTTTAAAAAACCCTGAGACATGCTGATTGAAGGGTGGGCTGCTGGATGGCATGACAATCTAGCAGATGCAGTGCTGGCTTTAAAATCATCCTCCAGGAGTGCTCATCAATGTTTCTGATCAAAAAAGGTAGGCCTCCAGTGCCACAAGGATCAATCTTGGGTCATTGAAGGAGACAGCAAGTTGAGGGAGGAAACAGGACCATTTTTGGAAGGGATGCTGGAGTCCAGGAAGCATGAGAAAGAGACTCAGAATAAGTTCACCTTAATTACATCACCCTCTTAGCTATCAAGACTTTTCCAGAAATCCAGGTGGTTCTGGTTTCCTGAGTTTGCCAACCCCACCAGGTTTGACACACATGAATGGAAATTGACTGACTAGCAACATCATCAGCACAACAAAACAAATGGGGATTACTTGAACTGCTTCAGGCCAATAGTGTAGAAGAAGACCCCTTTCATTCTTCTTCTGCAAGCACTATCTGAAGAACTTCCAAGCTGGACCACTTTGAGGCAGCCTGAAATGTGCATTCAAGCCACTCAGCCTGAAAGACTTTCCTGTGTGAAGGTTTTGGAAAAAGATATATCTCTTGTCTCCTCTGGCCTGCTGACTTCCAGACCATGAGTAGCACCTTCTCCAGAGTGTATCTTAAAAGAAGAGGTGAGTAGTGCCCCAAAGCTTTTGGTAAGAGGTCTGGAGGACGTTCTAGGCTGGCTGCCTGCAGCACACGCTACATTTGCCAAAGCCACCAGGTCTGGAAGATCTTTTGGTGTTGCAGGGGAAGATTCTTCTCAGCCTTTTTTGCTTGCTAAAGAAGTCTCCTTAGGGTCTTCTGTTCTTGCTTGACCTCCACAGGAGAAAGCTGAGAGAGGCTCCAAAGCAGAGCATTATGAAACAAGGAAGCAAGGGGACCGTGTTGCTTTCCAAAGCAGGTTCAAGGGCAGGTTCAAACCTTTGTCAGAGCCTTCAAAACTTTGCACAGCCTTAGTTAATTACCACAGGGGAGATGTTCTGCTCTACAGTATGCTTCAGCAAAGGAACAATGTAAATCCAATCTAATCTTTTTGAACAGCATTTCTGTATCATGCCAACTAGGAGGTTTCAAAGGAGAGTAAAAAAGGACTGAAATCATGGAACACCACTGCAGATGGCTCACAAAACATGGTGACTTTCTATTAAATGCCCAGATTTTAAGTACCTAAGTCCCACTGATGTCAGATGAACATGATGTAGAAAGGCTTGAAGAAAAATAAGTCTTTATCTTTAAAATCCAGTATGAGGTTTAAAATGTATGACCCTTAAAAAAATAAAAAAAATAAAAATCTAGTATATCTTTAAAATCTAGTACATCATCCAGGATGACTTAGCTCCTGATTAAAAGAGTTTTGATACCACACTACAAGTGCACAGAACAGAATGTGGTACTTCCATATTCTTGTGCTTTATTCAAAATACTTAAGTATTATTTAGTTTTTAGTTTTCATTTATGAATTCGTTAAAGTACTTTAATTACTGTATTTTAGCATGCCCTGATAATGCACTTGAGGGGCAAGGTGTAGGTTTAAATTCATCAGGACCAGTTGTAAGAAGTTTTATATAGGCAAGAAGCATTTTAGCCTGCACAGAGACGCCTCCCTTAATTTTCAAGGCAGTTTTAAGGGTAGTCCAGACCGTGGCTCCTAGCACCATTGTAATCACTTTTTGTAGCAAAAAAGTGGAAATACTGGCAAAAACCCATGGCAGCTTATTTACTTATTAATTCAATTTAAATGACAGTTACAAGCAGTGACGGTGCCATGATTCTTCTATGAAGTTTTGCTAGTAAAGCAGGACGATTGCACAATGAAAGCTTGGGTTTATTTCATATATTCATTCAATTAATTACCATTACTACCATCCTGCCTTTTCAGGACACCAAACCATCATAAATAATAATTAGGTTTCCTTTCCAGAAAGCAGTTCGTGATAATGGCTGGGGGGGGGCGGGTTGCAGATGTTTGAATAAAGGCGGAATTCCTGGACACAGAGAGCACCCGAGTCAAGGTTCAGGGTGTCCATCTCGCTTTTTGGAGATGCAGCTGCGGGGAACCGCGGCAGCAAACATCAGCCAGGGTGGAATGGGCTTTAAGCTCCGGGAGACTCGTTTCCCCGGAGGAGAGCGGCCCCCTCACCCCGACGCGCGTTCTGACGACGCCCGACACCGCCCCTGGCAGCTGGGCAATCCCTTCCCCACTTCCTGACGTCAGCGATCCGCCCCTCTCCCCGGCCTCATTTGCATAGGCTCCTGGCGCCCAATCCCGCGCCGCGTCCTGCTTTGCATGCGGACGCCCGGCCACTCAGCGAGCGCGGGGCCGGGCCACCACGTGCTGTTGCTAAGCTTCGGCTTCTAAATTGTTGCTATAGCGGCTGGCCTATGAGCGACCAGGATCGCCGTGCCGTCCACGCTGTCCGCGTCCGAGGGCGGGCCGAGCGTCTCGTCTCGGGCCGGATTGGCGGCGGCGCGGCTCCGCCTTCAGCGACTGGCTGGCGCGGCTGCCTGTTGAGCGAGGGACCTGCCAACCG